CAACCCCTTTTATGAAGCTATGGGCTTGAGAAGAGCTGGGCCAGAGCCCAGACCCTGGATTGGAGCAATCACTCTTCTTGGAGGGGGTTCAAAATTGGAAGCCAGGTCCAGGACCCAAGTTGGCCTGAGTTGGTGTCAGGGTGAGTCCATCCTGGACTGAACACCTGCAAAGAACTCCAGTGCACCTGGACGCCAGCCTGTGCCACCGAGGTTCATGCCCTCCGTGCGTCCTTATGGAGCACGGAGGCTTCACGAGGGTCGGATACGAGAGCCGCGGGTGCCATCTGCTGGAGGGAAGGGACCTCTGCCAGCAGAACAGCGCCGGGCTCCTAATATCCTGCCTGTCCGCCACCCAGCACAGCCTATCCTTAGCCCCAAGCCCTCGCAGCTCCACTCACCTCGCCGGCACCTTGCTTGGTGGGTGACCCCTGTGAGCCCGACACCAGGGAGAAAGGGCTCAGGGGGCTGGTGAGGCTGGCGGAGCTCAGAGGGCTGGCAGGGCTGTTGGAGCTGTATGTTCCCGGCGGACCCATGGCCACTGCAAAGAAGCAACAGAAAGGAATGAAGCAAGGGTGCAGCTTGCTCCTGTTGTGAAAGGGGAAGACAGCAAAGGGAAGACAAGCTAGTCTGGGGCTCCCACAGTGGCTGTGTGTTACCTTTGATGCCAGCGGGCAAGTGGGAACCTTCACTGCTGAGGCAGATAGCTCTATAGAGACTTTCCCCCCAATGTTATCTGAGGCAGGCCGAAGCCAGCCAGGAGAACCGAGGCTGCTGCTGACAGCTGGAGGCTGCAGCAGCAGCAGCAAGGGGGCATTAAGAGGGATGTGGTGAGGGGTGGCAACCAGGAGTGGCTGCACTGGGGTCACCTGCCTACTCATTGCAGCTACCATGGTTGCCAAGTAGGATGCATCTAATGTTGGAAGCCACCCACCTCTGGCTCCAGAAACCACAGGCTGCTGCCCTTTGAGATCCTCCATTAGCTACAGAGGCTTTCGGGTCTACATCCTCTATGCACCACAGCTGCTAGAGGGTGACAGTCAGGGACATGGGAGTAGGCATGAAGACCTCATAGCTTGGGATGCATCACCAAGGACTGTGGGACACTTGGGCAGGCACTAAAACGAGCTGTATTGTGACCCCACAGCCTCGGTCAGGCCCGGGGGAGGCAGTGCTCACCTCTGTGCTTGGCGGTGTCTGTGCCACGGGATGGGTTGTTCTTCCTTAGCCCCTCCATCACGTCCTGGATCCGCCAGATCTCCTTCTGGATCTGCCGGTTGAGCATTTCATTCTGTGAGGAACAATGGGCAGGAGGTCAGAAAAGCTGCCATCTCAAGCTGCAGGGCTGTGGTGCGGCCCAGCTAACCTGCCTGCCGTGGGGACTCTGTCCATCACCCTCCAGCAACAATGCCCAAACCCACCTCCAACTCCCTCACACCACAGGGCCAAACCCTGGGGCCTTTCCTTTGAAGTTACGCAGCCTTCGCATTAGTAGTGAAATCCAAGGGGCTTCTGACCTCAGCCCAGAGCCAGGGCCAAAGGGGGTTGGCACCCTGGATTGCCAACCACACTGGTTTCATCAGGGCTAAGCCTTTTTCAGCAGCCCCTTCCAGCCCTTCTGCCAATGAAGCAGTAATGCCGCATGGACTGTGACCACCTTCTGGTAGCCCTGCAGTGCTCTGCCAGGGGCTGCTGGCTCTGCTTTCCCATGGGGCCATGACCGGTTCTGGCCATGTGTGAACACAGAGTCCGTTCCAGCTGGGCCCAGATGTGCCACTGCACAGGTAACTGCATCATGGAAATGAAAGCCATGGCTGGTGCTGTCACTGTCCTGCCTCAGCAAAGAGGCCAAGGTCTCACTGGGGCACAGAGGACAGACACAGCCGGTGACTGAGCCTATGCCCGAGATTCTCCGTAATCGCGCATCTGACTGAGCATCAAGCTGGCCACTTCCAGGAAAACCCTCGTGCAACCGTGGCAGCTGTGCACACAAATCAGAGGCACTGTGTGAGTGTAAGAAAAGCTGGTCCTGAAGCTGTGAGCCAAACCTATGCATGCCGTGGGGCTGGAGGAGACAGGCTCTCAGGGCCAGACTTTGCTCTCACATGCACCAGTTTTGCCCAAGGGAATGGGACTGCTCTCTGCATAGTTGCTCATGATTTACCCCTGGTTACTCCTGATTTACCCTGGAGTTGCACTGCCCCCTGCCCAAGCCCAGGCTGGGGTGAGTTCAGTGCCCTGAGTCACTCCTGATCCAGCCCTGCTCTCTCACCTGGATGTCCAAGTTCAGCTGCTCCCAGAGGTCGTCATGCAGGGCGGACACCTCGCTCTCCAGGTTCTCGTACTCTAGGGTGCTGTTGGCCAAGGCCTAGGGGGATGTGCAGATGCTCCCATGAGACAACCAGCTCCTCCTATGCATGTCCCAGGGATGCAGAGACAATACCCCACCTGGGCCAGCATAGAGGTCCCCTCAGTCTGCTCCGAGGGGCACACTCACTCAGGAAGCTTCAAAGGGCTGGTATGTGCGTGCTAGCATGGGCCTGAGACCAAGCCTAGGAGACAAGCAGCAAGGGCCCAGCACAGACCCTCCAGGGATAAATGTAAGTATGCTCCACTGAGGAAAGCATACCCCATGCCCTTCCTACCATTCACAGATGGTTAGGGCCACTACAGGGGGAAAATCAGTGGAGAGGTGGTGGCACCAATGGGTTAGGTGGGTGTAATCACTGAATTGCACCCTCTGGAGGCAGGGAGCTTGCAGCCTCTCTGATCCTCACACCAACACCATGATGCCAGACCCCATGAAGGGACCGCGATGCGCTGGTAAATGCATTTTGAGGGTGGGGAGAGGATGTCCAGCAAGTAAAATGGGCCAACAGGAAAAGCAGGGGCCAAGGGCTTGCTCCCTGGCTGACCCCTGGCACAGTAGTATGTGGGTTATGTGCTCCACCCCCATGAGATATGCCTTGGCTGGTCCCAGGTCCCTGTGGCCTGGAGGGGGATTCTCCTCATTTTCTTTCTTTTTTAATGGAAGAAAATGGAGCAGGGAAATGCAACAAGAAAAAGAGAAGGAAGGGCAGATTTATCCCCACCTGCCTGAGCTGGCCAGGGCATTTCAGCTCCCCGGTGCCAGGTTTCCTGGGCACCCATGGCCCCAGCCTGGCAGACAGTAGTAGAGACCGGCTCTTTCCACTGCTAAGGGATCCAACCCTGCTGTTGAGTAAGACCTATACTTGGGACCCTGATGGCACAGAGCCCAGGACCCACGCTGGGGTGTTGCTGCCCCACTGAGGAGCCCTGCACAGGGCAGAAGGGGACCCCTAAAAGCATGTGCCAGCTTCCCCCTGCTTCACCCCTCCTGCAGTGCAGAGGAGCCTGGCCCAGCTCAAGGTCCCCACAAGAGGCCACCCCAGCATCTCTGTTACCGTGCTGGCCTGGGACAGCTCCACCCGGATGTTGATGAGTTGGTTCTGGAGGGATTCCTTCTTGTGCAGCAGCTTCTCTGGGTAGGCGGGCTGGCTCCCAAACATCTCCAGCTCCTGGTGAGTCCCCATCAGGGCGCTCTCGAGGCTCTCCTAATGGCAAGATGACAACAAGCCCTCACAGCCCTCCTGCTCACCGAGCCATCTGATTTGGGGAGTGGAAACATGGGCACCTAAAAGGGGCCTTCTCCCTGCTGAATGGGTGGGGGGTAGCCAGGCCCACTGGTAAGTACCAGGCCCACTGGAGCCAGGCCCACTGGTGAGTACCAGCTGGTGAGAGGTCCTGCAGGAATGGCTGCAAGGGACACTCCACCAGAGGCCTACCAGGATGGAGGTTGGCCACCGCTGCATTAAGGCAGCCGATGACTTGGAAAATCTGGTTTCAATTCCCAGCTCTGCTTCAGGTGCCCTTTGTGATCTGGGGCAAGTCACTTTGCCTCTCCAGGCTAGTGACCCACCTGCCCAAGGGGGTTACCCCTGCCCTCCTCAGAGGCAGCACTGTGAGGCACTTGGCCACGACAGCGCTGGGGCTTCAGAAGAACCTGATGCTCTTCCCATGTTGCAGCTATCCTGCCACAAATATCCCAGCCCACCAGGCTGTTTCCAAGCAGGCAGACAGTCTTCACCACCCAGTGTCATGGTGGCTTAAGGGGAAATAGAAATAGCTATATCATCGCTGCTGCTCCAGGGCCATTTCCACCCAAGGGTGACAAGCCCAGCCCCAACTGCCAGGTCTGCCCAGGGTGACAGAGACTATCACGCTGGGTTCCCCTCCCTGCTCACCTTCTCTGCCCGGAGCTGCTGCACCAGCCTTTCCTGCTCCCTCACCACCTTGTTCTGCTCACACAGTTTCCCCAGGAGTTTCTGTCCCCAGGAAAGGAAAAGGAGAAGAAAAAAAATCAGAGCGTGAAGAGCTGTCACAGGGCCCATTTGCCATGCTGCCACAGTGCACCAGGATCATGTAGGTAAGGATAGAGCAGACTCTTTGTGGTAAATTAGCAAATCCATCCCCACCTGAGGACAAGACATTGGACTAAATCCTGACTCCAGTGATGCTAATGCCAGAACAACCAATAAATTCACTGGGGAGGGGATATGGCCCCTGGCCTGTCTGCCAGCAGATCAGCACCCAGTGCTGTGATATTAGACCCTAGCCCAGAGGCCCCAAGGGGCCTCTCACTGCTATTCCTCTTTCAGGACCTTCTCCCTAGCCCAGTGGATGGTGAGGCGGGAATACCTGACAGCATCAAATGGAAAATGAAAAATCATCAGGATTCACAGTTTCTTAGGGTGAAAAACCTAGAGTCAAGGGTTTCATTTCTAGGACTGGCATTAGCAAAGGTAAAACAGCATTACTTATAAACCCCAGGCAAGTCCTTTTGGAAGACAGGAGAATCATTTTCCATTACTGAGTCACTGCTTCACATGTAGACACCTCTGGAAACATCTAAAATATTCCTTTAGGATCCATGAAGAAAAACCTTCAGCAACCCGCAAACTTCCAGGGTACTTTGGGGTACCTGGGGTACTATTTACTAGGCTAATCCCAAGTGGCTGCTATATTAAGCGAGTAGCAAGAGTGATCTTCAGCCATTTCTATCCTCAGTCTTACTATCGGTGGACGAGTAATGTATTATCTGAGCGGGCTGAAAACACACAAGAATGTAAGTGTGGAAGACGTGTGTACAGTAGGAGGGAGAGATGCAGTGGAAAAGAGAGCTAAGAACTGAAGCAAACTAGCAAATGACACTGGTGAGCAGCAGTGAATGAGTGAGCAGTAATGCCCATATCCCTGAAGCTCTGCCATGAGAAAGGATGCCCATCCAATGACACACAGCACAGGCGGGAGGTGGGAGAAAGCGTGACCACCCGGGGTGGAGGATGGGTGGCTGACACTATGACGGCAGGGAAGAGGAGGTGGACAGGCAAGGCAGAGAGAGTTGATCTTACATCCGTGTCTTGCTCGCTTATCTTGTAGGCGTGCAGTGTCTCTCTGTAAGCATCCGGGAAGGGAGATACCTGCAATAACAGGAACCAGTCACTACTGCTCTCTCCTGTGGAGAGCTGAGCCTCTGGGAGACCCGAGGTCGTGTCTGGAGTCCTTGGAGAGAATGGCTTCTTGGCTGCCGGTGACCTAGTCCCCACCACAGCCCTACCAGTTGAGCCCCTTTGCCCATAAAATTAGCAGGGGGCCAGGAAATGAAGTCCGAGTGCTCAGCCACGGCATCAGCCATCAGAAAGAGTCCAGACTCTTCAGGGTCTGCCCAACCCAGTCAACTCCTGCTGGCTGCTCAGATCTGCCTCCTCCCTTGGAAGCACAAGGGCCTGCTTCCAAGGCAGGGAGCTCCTCCATGCACAAGATAATGCCCCTCTCCTGTGCATGCGGGAGGGAGCACAACATCCCTTCTGCAAAGGATCTGAGCTATTGAGCCGCACGTCAAGCCTGGGTTGGTAACTGGGCAATCACGCGGGCAAGCAATGGTAACTGGCCACCCGTGTGGGCAACTGTGGGGTCAGTCAGGAGTGGAGTGTGCAGTCTGGCATTCCCTTTGCAAGTGCACTGGGCCCTGAACCAGGGTCAGGATATCCCCCGTTTCTAGGATTCAGCCCCTCAAGGTGAGGAGTAATGTATCACAACGTGGGACCTCTAGAGAAAGGCTGGGTCTTGGCTGCCCTTATAATGCCAGGGAGGTTTCTTGGTGTGCGTAACAGCTCAGCATCTGGTGAACACAATGGGCAGGGATGAGAAGAAACTGCTGAAGGAAGTCTCAGGGGTCCCCTCACTGGGAGGCTGAGGTTAGACAGTCTTCACTAGAGTTAAAGGCCAATGGGAAGTGGCCAGCAGCAGACCAGATGCCACGCTCACCATGATCACCTTCGGGCACTGACACTCGCTGCTTAAGGCCTCCAGTGCCAAGCTCAGCAGGATGCAGGATTTGGCCCCTGGGTACCTTGTGGTGTCAAAGCAGGATGGCAGAGCCAATGGGAAAGCAGCTCACAACTTGGTGCATCCCCGTCTTGCATCTGGTTATCTGACTGCCCCAGGTGGCCTGTTCCATTTACGGAGTGGATGCCAAGACCTTTCCCCTCACATCCAACACTGTCCCTTCCTCAGAGCAACACGGCACAGCACAATGCGCAGCCACCCCAGGGAGAAGGCAACCAAGGGATGCAGCAGAGGCGTTACATGGACTAGAACAGCACGGTGCCCAATGCAAGAATGCAGAGCTAGCACTACACTGACCATGACCTTGGCAAGGGTCCTGCCTGAGCAGTGGTGACCTCTTATATCCACCAAGAACCCCCTGCGTTCAGAGCAGGCATGGGACATCTAGAAAATACACGTAGTAAACATTCAGCAACACTGAGTTTGCTTAACAAAAGTGGCACAGCTATGAATGGAGCTCTGAAAGCATGAATGGGTGGCAGCTGACTCTTCAGCATGGTGCAATGAGATGTTGCTTTTATGACTGGACCAGCTAGGGGCATGTTTGGAGTCTGGAGTTACAGCAGAAAAGAGCCTAGTACCTGGTACTTGTACAGCACTTTCCATATTCAGTGAATTGCGTAGGTTCAATACAAAGCTAATTTCTAACAGCTTGACTACAAAAAGGATAAAAGCCTACTTCTGCTGCCAGATGATGGGAGCACTCCTATAACATAAAGAGCAGAGCTGGGGCTTTGGAAATGATGACCCAAGTGTTAAACCTACTGAAATACAAAAGGTGGTAGGGTCTTATTCTCAGCTCATCCTCACAAGCCTAGAAAGCACTATCCTCTTCACAAACCCCAAGGCAGCTCAGTGAATTGACCAAGGCTGCTCTGGAAGTAGGTGGCAGCACTGAGATTTGAACTCGGGACTTCCTACATGCTAGTCTTGTACCATCCCCCACACAGCGCTGCCTTTGAGGACAATAAGCTACTGGGGTTTTGAATGGCTTATGGATGTGTTAGTGAAGCCTGTGATGGAGCCAGCGGGTTCCCCCGTGGGTGACGTGTCAGGCCCCACAGATGCGGGGTGAGGTGTTTCAATGAGCAGAGATGTCGGGTGGCAAGATCGCAAATGAATCGTGTCGTGGGAGAGGGAGCTGCACGATGGTTCTGCCATGCAAAGGTGGCAGGAATGGCATTGCCGGTGGTGGAGCGGCCGCGGTTCCTTACTTGCATGTAGAGCTGGGCCCTAGGGGAGGAGTTCTCCACCATTCTGTTCACCATACTGATCAGAGTCTCGCTCTCACTCATCTACAGCAGACAAGGAAGGAAATTTCAGACATCAGCAGAGATGTGGCTTCTCTCTTGGTTCAAGCTCCAATGTTCAGAGCACAGTGTGGGACGGCCGTGGGCCTGGGTCAGGAAGTGTTTGAAGCCCCAAGTGCCTTGTCCAAGGTGCTAAGTGCTGTGCTGCCAGCTGTGCCAGTAGGTGATGGGTGTCGGGTGCACACAGGACCTTGGGAGACCCTGTCCCTGTTTTGACACAGCTCTGAAAACATGCACAAAACCTCCCTTCCTGGGCCAAGGATGAGTGCACAATGGACAAGTCTCCCAGAGCCACTAACATTTCCCTGCCTCCACAAAGTACTGAGGACACCCCCTTGGCTGCATGGAGCTTCCTCGGCCTCGGCTCCTCCTCACACTACCTTAGCACACACATTACAAGGGCCTCAAAAGAAGCCCAAGAGCTTCAAAGTAAGAAAAGACCTTGAGTTCTGCCTCTGCTAATGAGCAGACAGCAGCTCAGAGCAATCACAGAACAGACGCACCAGGAAAATCACAGCACCGTGACCTTACCTCAGCCTTGAGCTCCAGTTTCTCTAGGTTTAAACATGAGAAACAGTCTGTTTGGGCTTGTCCATGCAGGAAGTCGTGGAAGAGCTGATTAACTCCCATTCCTGATTAACTCCCTACGTGGACCTTCTTCTTCTGGAATAAAAGCACCTGACAGCCAAATTGGCTTAATCCACATAGGAAGCGAATCAAACCAATTCAGAATAAGGCAGTCTTATTCCACATCAAGAGCCCCCACAAAGGGAATGATTCAGGAATAGCTATTGTCCTTTAAATTCATACCCAACTTAATCTGAATGAGCTTTCCTGTGTAGACAACTCCTTTGTTTCCACTGCATGTGATACTGCTATTGTTGGACTGGAGAAGCTCAGGTTGCATTAATTACTTTCGAGAAGCCTCCAAATGAGAGTAGATCTTTGAGGGGGGTCAGAGAGACCTGTGTATCACATCAGATGTGTGTCACAAACTTCCCCTTACTCACGGGAAGTTCTACATCCCAAATGAAGATCATCTGTTGGCAGGAGAGCGCAGCCATGGGTACAATGGGGTGGCACTACTGAAAGAAGTACTATGTCTCTGGAGCTGTGTTTCCTACATATTGGAACATGCCTGATAACCTCTCTGCCTTGAATGTGATGTGAGGGTACAGGGTACAAATGTGCAGGGTACAAATGAAGCTGTCCATCCTATTCCACAGAAATCAACCCAATGACTGATATGGCATGATTGCATCAAAGGGAGTGGGTACCAAAGGCTGAAAACAGAAGGCATTGCAGAGCACTGTAGGACCATATTTTGGCACGTGGTTCTTTTAAGATCCTTGTTTGGGGAACAGCACCCGCCAGATGCTACACATGCCTTCAAGAAAAAGAAAATCCTTAATGGGGAAATAAAACCTAAAGACCCAACTGGGCTCTAGCATACTCCCTGGTTGGCTCTATTGTGCTCAGAACTAGAAGAACCCCCCAAAACTGTGGTGCCTTTAAATGGAATAAAACAGGGGGAAAAGTAGGCACTCCACATACTGCAACAACACATCCTTACTGTTGTTCACAGTAACCCCCCAGGACTTTATATCAATTTCCTGGTTACCCTGAGCACACTGTGCTTTGTGATCGTAAGGCTGCATGTGCCACCTTGTTACTACAAAGGGGCCAAGAGCTTGGTGGGCTCCCGTAGTGCTGGGCTGCAAATCATGTGTGCCTGTAAGGTGACTACTGTGTCACCGTCTGCTTTGGCAAGATTGCCCCAGCTGGCTGATGACAACAGGGTGGCTCATTAGTGCTCCACCCCTGGCACCGATCTTCTTTTTAACATTAGAAGTAGCTCTGTCCCCGAGATCCAAAGGTCTCCCAACGAGCTCTCAAACAGGAAGAACACCAGCCTGAGGATGGCATCTAGCTCCTCCTAGCTGAAGGGGTCAGGGTGAGGTTTTGTCTCAAGCTTTCTCCAATGTTTAAACAGAGAAACACATCAGTCAGCAGAGCCAGATCTTCTGCTGGCATGAATCAGCATCACTCTACTACCATCACGGGAGCTGCCTCAGTCCTCCACCCACCCACCATGCTCTGTTCCAGCTCCCCAGACAAACAGGGAATGAGAAATAAAGGAGAACTGTCTTTAAAGAGATGCTTGAAAGCATCACTTAAACGAGTCTTTCCAAAAGTCAGTAGGAAAGGAGGAGGAGATGGAAAGCCTTTTAGGAAGCATTTTAGAAAGGACTCGATGAAACACTGCTGCCAGGGGCTGCGAAACAACCCAGAAAGCTCTGCATCCTCCTTGCTCGTCTTTGGCTCTGCTCCAAGCCAGGCAGATGCATCTCAGTGATTACTCTACTGATGGGGATTTACAGACTCTGGGAGCCTAATGAGATAGTATTTCAATAAGGAAGCTGTTCCACAGACAGAGATGCAGGCCAGCGGCAGGCTGCAGCGCCGGCCCAGGGATCTGTAAGGGTTTTTTTCCATCCACGTTCTAATCTGAAGCCACGCCTGCAATTTTCATCTCTATGCTGCCACAGATGTCTCCTCCTGGGCTTTCCTTCTCCCGCTCCCAGGATGGTGTTCATTACGACCAGCCTCAGATGCGTGCTGGTGCTCAGATACCTGGGACCTGGGCTTACAGCACCAAAACCATACAACGCAGCACCAAACCCTCTATTGAACCTTAACCGGGTTTAGGTTACTGACTTCCAGTTACCTCCGATTCCTGCCTCTCCCCAACAGCACACAAGCTCCCGCATGCAGGGAGCTCATGCACACTCACAGCTGCTCCCTGCCACATGCAGCAACTCCACACAGATTCCTTAAACTGTCAGTTGTCCAGCCTGGCCCAAGCCTTGCTGTCCATCCCTCTGGTTCTAGCTGCTTGGGTAAAGACCCCGACTAAGCCGAGTGTCACCTCATGGAGGGACCTTCTCACCCCCTGGTAAGGAAGGTACTTGTAGTAGCAGGAAGGAGTGGGCTCTGGGCCCAAGTTAGCAACGCTGCCAAATTTTGTTCATGTGTGTAAATCAGGCACCAACACAGTGATGTAAATCCAGCACAGTCCCATTGTAATCAATGCATTTACAAGGCTGGGAGAGGAGACTCAGGTGCTGAGATGAAAGCTCAGTCTCCCCCATCCCCTCATGAAAGCTATAAGCACTTGCAATCCCATTCACTCACAGCTCCTTGGGCCTCAATCTTCTCCTGTTCACACCAGCAAATCTCTGCTGTCCTGACCAGAGTGACTCCTTATTCACATCTCAGCTAAGAGCCAACTCCACATGCACCTGTCACCACACCACTAACCTCACAGGTTCAGGACACAGAGGAAGCATTTTTGTCCCTCTCCAGTGACCAGGGACCCTGCCGACGGGTAGAACGGGGAAAAAAAACCAAAAGACAACTCGTGCGGCCATCATGCCAGGAGAGGTTGCGGGATAGATGTCACGGGACAGGATGCAACCACACTGCACTGGGAGGCAGGGAGGGGAGATGGTGCAGGACAGGCAGGAGGGGACATGAGGAGCATGGAGGTTCACAGCCAGCTCTGCCTACCTGCTGGTCCAAATAGTCTAGGTTTCTTTGCAACTGAAGGTCTAACAGTTCATCCTACCAGGAGCCAAACAGACATGCGGCAAAAAATGAACACACGGACAAACACAGAGAAGAAGCAAAGCGTTAGGTGGAGGCTGCAGAAAGGCAAAGAGCTCTCAGTCTAGCAGATGGAGCAGGAGCTGCCTCTGTCTGGTTTGTAGGTCCAGGGATGTTGGCCAAGGGAAGACCTAGTGGCCTGGGCTTAGCAGGACAAAAGATATCTTCTGCGCTCCCCATAGGAACTACCTCATGGACTGAGTTTCTGCCCTGGGTCATCTAGCACTTTCTGCTGGATGAGTCTAGGATGGCAGTGAATGAGAGCCTCTCCCCTCCACTGTCCACTCCCAACAGTGCTATGAAGGATGGGTGATGGCATAGCTCGGTGTCTTCATAATGCCTTGCTGAATGGACAGCTCCTGCCAGGAGAGGTTGGGACTGCAGCAGCAGCAGCTGACAGCAGCTCCTCCATTCTTGCCTAAAGTGGCTGCTGTTGGGGATGGCACAGCTGGAGGCTCCTCCCGTGAGCTCCCTGCCCCTCTCTTTCTCCCAACCCGCTGCTTCCCCTGCCCCTTTTCCCAGGGCACGGAAAGCTGGGGATGGAGCCCCCGCATCCTGGGCACCAGGACTCCATCCTCACATTTCCACATGCATCATCCCTGCGTGCACAGCCAGGCAGTGAGACAGCGATGGGAGGAAGACAGGTGTGGCAGGTGCACAGCTTAGAGTCCACTCCACGGGGCACTGACATCCAGGCTGGGGTTTACTGACAGGTGAACGATCAGGGCCCCTGTACAAAGCCACTGAAGCTGTTAGGCAGAAGACTGGGGACACCTGGCCTCACCCCATGGACTCTGGCTGTCCCCCCGCAACACCCTGAGGCACCCGAATGAAAAGAAAATGTTCAGGGCAGTTGGGAAAAGGAACAAAGCAATTGCAGCCTGAACCAGAGATGGGACAGAAAGGGGGAAGGGAGGGTTGTGTCCATTCATAATGTCCACCTGGCCCCTTGCCCCGGAGGCTCATCTCTTGAGTTGGAAACAGCACAGCAACCTGAGAGTGTGCATCAGAGCTGTGTTTTCCAAGCATCTTTGTCTGCTCTTGGTGAAGTGATGACCCCAGAATCAGGGCTGCACAGGCATGCAAGGGAAGCACATGCCTTCCAATGTGTCCCCTTCCAGGGACAAAGCCAGCTGGCCTCAGGAAGGCCAGTGTACTAGGAGCAAACCATCTCATTTGGGGCCCACCACAGCCAGCCCCAAATGACCTACCTCCTACATGTGCCAGCTCAGCCCAGCCTGACAGAGGGTGCTCAGAGCAGACTTGTTTCCTCTCCAGGCTTCCTGAGTGGGCACACACCACCCTCCCATCCCCGTGGGTCAGTAAGCCATGTTGTGCGTGCCCCATTTGTGCCCAGGCACCACCGAGGCAGCAGGACCTCCAACCGGTCCGAACGCAGGAGCTGGGAGCTGCACCCCAGATGCCATGTGTGCCTCTTGGCTGGGCACACACTAGAGCTCTAAGACCACCCTCAGTTACTGATGCCATGCCCGTGCCAGCCCCTTTTCCTTTGCCCCGCACTGCTAACATGCCCTGTTCACTTTAAAACTTGAGAGAGAAGCAAGGTCAACAACAAAGTGACAAGTCATTGAAGACACGTACCATTTTATCGTGGACGGTAGGAGAACCTGGGTAGTTGTAGGGATACATTCCTGCAGGGACAGGCCTCCTGTCACCCAGATAATCGTACTGAGAAGAGAAAAGAGGCCCCAGACACATGTGAGATCTTCATACTGCTCCCTAACTACCACCCCCGCGTGCAGCGCTCAGTCCCAAAGCCCTCTACAGGGGTCTCGGCATCTGGTAGCTCTTCTCAGAGATGGGGGAACTGCAGAGCCAGAGTCCCACACTTGAGGAGATTCCTCTAGTGGGAGAGGAGTCAGGGCTAGGATGGATCTGAGCCACAAAGCTCCAATCCACATCCAGCCTTTTCTAGCATTCAGGGGGTTTGCACCCAGCTGCACAGTGCCGGCTATGCAGGGGCCCATTGCATTGCCCCAGCCTGAAGAGCCCTGTGCTCACTGCCCTGGAAAACCCAGAGAAGGCTCCTTAGTTCTTCTCAAAGGGCTGAGATGACAGAATTACCCTGCCATCCTGCAACTGTGATGTCCCTTCTTCCCTGGTATCTGTTGCCCTGGTGTTATGACCCATGCCAGACCTAGCTGCTCATCAGATTAGGAGCTGCAGGCAGGAAACAGCCCTCTGAGCTGGGTCATCTGTGCAAGAACACCAGGGCGGTGCCGGAGACGGGGCAGGGGACAACTGCGAGAGCTCATGCCCTGCAAGCAGGCCCTTCATTGCACACACAGCGCTTGCAGAGGGGACTTACACCCCTGCTTCATCCACGCACAGGGCAAGTTTAGCCCCTGCTACTCCCCCACCCCAGCTTGTTTCTCCCCTCCAGCCCTGCTCATGCCCCTCAACCATGCCCTGCAGCCCTCCTCTCCCTCCAGTCCCAGCTCTGCTGGTGTGCCCTACCTGCACCTGGCTGCTCCCCCAGCTGCTTGTGAACAGCTCATGTGTGAGAGTGACAGGGTGTGGGGGGAGTTTACCTTGGGGGAACTGACTGATCGCCTCATCATGTAGGCTGCGGGGTCAGCATAGATCTCCTCACTCCTTGATGGCATCCTCTCAAAGCGGGCACTTGGTGACCTGACTGGAGAGTACATCCTAGGCCGGTTGTAGGAGCCCTGGCTGGGTGAACGGGGCACAGACCTGGAGCGGGGCTGCAGGGACATCCTTCGCAGGGAGCCTGAGGCTGCATCCACCTCGTCGTAGTACACAGGCTGCCGCACTGGGCCAGGGAGCCAGACAGGGACGTCCTGCCGGCCGCAGCCTGGGCGGTCCTTCCACTCCCGCAGCTGGTAGGTGCCCCCGTTGCGGAAGGAGTGGCGCTTGTCCTCCAGTGCCCACTGTGGGCTCACGCGCTCGTACGCCGGCATGGAGCAGATGCTGTCGGGGCGCACGCCCGGCGGGTAGTACTGGTAATCCTCAGGGTACTGAGGCGAGTAAGGGGTGTAGTAGTCGGGCACCCTCCGAGACACCGGGTAGAACCTGGTGGGGCTGCACCCCCAAAGGAAAGAGCAGAGATGGGTACGGCCCAGTACAAGGGGTCTCAGCCCTGCCTAGCTCTGCGGCTCTTGCCCAGGGCCCATGCTCCTCGGCTGGGAGGGCAGAACCCATGTGGGGGTCCCTCGGGTGTCAGAAGTGCAGGGCAGGTCCTCAGAGAGGGGCCTGCTGGAGCCCTGCTTCTCCACAGGAGACCCCAGAGCTCTTTCCTACCCTGATGCAGGGCATTTTCCTTATGGTTAGTGTCCTCCCCTGAAGTGGTGGCCAGTGCAGTCACTGTAGGGAGTCCGCTGGAGGCCTGAAGCGATGGTTCCCCTCTGCCCCCCACTTCAACCCCATCTGCCCCTCTCAGCCAGTTGGCCCCAAGAAGCAGCCCCCAAGGCCTCCTGATCTCTTCCCTGTCCAGCTAACCTTGCTTCTGCATGAGTCCTCTCTCCCCACCTCTCCAAAAATCACCATCCCCTCCCCTCCTGGTCCTGGGAGTAAGCCCCCTGGGGTGCATCCACTCAGCACATGGTTTGGCCCCAGTGCCAGGCACAGTTTGGGATGGAGGTTTCATTACCTCCCCAGACACCAGGACAGAGACCAAGACGGGGAACTTTTCCTGCCCTGGATGAAGAGCAGAGCAGTAAGACCCCCCTCGTCATGCCATGACTGCCCACAGCCCTCTTACCTCCTCAGCTCTTCCGGTGGGACTGTCCCCCTGCGCAGGTTCACCCACTGCTGCAGCTGTGTCATGGAGCTCTTCCTTTGGGCGATCTTCTCAGGGTTGGTGCGTGGCACGAAGCCCCGCCGGTGCACTGCGCTCTCCCCGTCCTGCTGTGGGTAGGCGGTGCTGCCGGGGCGGCTGGGGGATGAGTACTGCCAGCCATTGGGCTGGGACGGCCTCTCCACCCCTGCAGATGCCCGGGGACCCTCGGGATATGGGCTGCCAGGCTCGGAAGGCATCTCCTGCCCAGCAACGCCGTTGGTTTTGGCCAATGGCTCCTTCTTGCTCTCCACCTTCTCTGGTTTCCTCTCAACCTTCTCCGAGCCACGCCCATCGCCCTCCCCTCGGGTCTTGACCTCCGGGTCCACTTTGGGGTGCTCCCTGTGGGCAGCTGGCCGGTGGTGGTGGTGGTGTTTGGCCGGGGGGATGTTCTCAGAGTCCGTCTTCTCATGCCTGCCATGGGTGAAAACACACAGAGCCTCATTCCCTGCCACACAACCCAGGATGTTAAGGCCAGTCCTGTCCCTTCCTCCCAGGGGCGGGGGCAGTGGTGGAGTCCACTGGTAGCTGGTTACTGACCCCCTTGTCTCTGAAACAATCCTCAAAATTGCTGCCTGTCGCACGTCTTACCTCTGACAATGGATCTCAGTTTTCCACCCCTCCATGCTGCAAAGGACCCACCCTTCAGCTTACTGCCAAAGGCACCGGTGGCTAATGGCACTGACATGCCTCCCCAAAGACACCCCAAGTTTCTGGCTGTTGGCCCCACCATGCTCCCAATGATCTAGGATCTGATCCCCCAGGACTGATGCTCCCTGGGCTCCTAACACACCACCAAGTCTGGCCCTGATCTCCCCTCTCCCCCCAGTTCTCCACAGAGGCCCTCCAGCCTCCAGTAAGAGGTGCCCGCAGTGCTGACCTCTGGGCGGGTGGGATCTGCACGCGGGCAGCTTCGCCCATGGCTTGGATCCAGGCCTCCTGCTCCTCGTTGTTCTCAGCGCTGAAGAAGTAGGTCCTGATGCCTGCGTGCTCAGCCTGGGAAGAGAGGCACTGCTGGTTACCCCCTGGCACTTCCTCTACCCAGCACACGGTCACCTGCAGTAAGGGAAGAGTGCACACAGAGACAAGCAAGAGGTCAGTCATCCAGCCACAGCCCAGGCTTGCTAGCCAAGACAGCCTGGAGCTGTAGGCAAAGCCACATCTGGCAAAGCCCAGAGCCTGCTCCAGCACAAAAACCCCAGGGCCAAGGAGTCAGGGCAACCAAGCCAACTGATGACCACTGCTAGAGGTTTACTGTGACCCACCCCTGAGAGCATCTGGAGAAGCTGGATCTGGGTTACCTGTTATGCCCAGAGTCCATCCAAACTGGGTGCTGAAAGTCAGTGCGAGGCTCTGAGCGCACCTCATCTAGCAGCAGAGGAGAGCTGGATAGGTCCAGCTGGCCTGGAGGTTGACCTGAAGCTCTCCTGATACCCCGCAGCCTGGAAAGTGGCTGGGGACTCCTGGCACATAACCCTTATTTAAAGAAAAGCTACAGGCCCCTGCAGTCCTCCTGACTACAACAGCTTCCACCCATAGTGCTGCAGCTCAAGCAGTCACATCAGTATCCCCCCTGCCTGGTCTGCTCATACAAAGATGACCCAAAGCCCAGACCGAAATACAGCCAACCATCTGGGTGGCCAAAATCTACGTGCAGGTTGTTCCGTCTTTGGCTTCAGGTGCAATGAAGACAAATACCATCTTGTTAAGACCCCGGGGGCTTCTCATGAGAACTGAGCTGGTCAGAAATCCTCATAGATACACACACACACACTTTTCCCCCCATTGAAAACCAGCTTTTTGACCAAAACGATATTTTTGTGGGAAATGTTCCTTTTTTGATGAAACAAGATGGAAACCAAGACTTCTTCCATCTTTTCACTTCCCCCTTTCCCCCTCTTCATTGCCCTCCCTTTTCCTGCGGGGAGAGGAAAAGCAGGGAAAG